CAAGCTATTTCAAATCAGGGGATGAAAACATAACAGCAGCACCACTGCATTAGTTATCATCCTTTTCAGCTATACCATCACCCATTTTGTGTACTGACTGCACAACGGTCTTTTATGTACATCCAAGAATCAGCATGGCTATGGCTACCACTTACAGATGAATCATTTTTTCTGAGCCTTTGATTATGATATAGCAGCAGGTAACTGAAAGGAGCAGTGTGAACTTCTGGTTAGAATTCTTTTAGGACTTTTGTTTTGGAGGTTTTTACCAAGCAGTAACCTCTCGTGCTGGAAAATTAAGCCAATGCGGAAGTCCAAAGAACTGCAGGTTCTCTGAATGGCCACTGAAGACTGGCTCTAGAAGTGAGTCAATCCCCACGGACCCCATGTTAGCATGTCCAGCTGGTGCAAAAAACAGTTTTGGTGAAACCACCCCTCGCTTCTTCACAGCTATGACCTCTCGTCCAAACATGGTCACTTCTGGCTCCAAAACAAAACAAGATGGCGACGGCCAAAATGCCAAACTTCAGGCTGCAAAACAGCAGTCCACAAACCTATGGGTGATGTCACAGTAACTACATAGTTATTTTATGCAGTTTAGGGTTTTTACTGGGAGTTAAATTATCTACAGAAGTCTCTTCCACTCAAAAACAAATAAACCAGGTGATTAAACTGGTAAAACACTGAATAAACCAGCGTCATGTTACAAATCTGACACTGTTCAGCTCATTGCAGATGGGCTGCTCTCCCGGCACCTGCTAATGTGTGCTCACCTTTTTTCTTTGATAACATAAGATCCAGACATTCAGGAGGCTTTTACCAGGAGCTGAATTATCAGCCAAATAAACAGATGAACAATAAAAACACTAAATAGAGCAGTTTCACATTAAACATCTGTGTTTTTCTTGACACTGTTTGGCTCTTCACTGAGGGGCCAATTGAAAAAAGTGACTGCCCCTATTAGAGCCAGTGTTTGGTTTGTCTGTTCTAGGCTACTGCAAAAACATGGCAGTGCAACATTGTGGACTCTGTAGACGAGGACACGCTCAGATATTCAGCTCATTCAAAGGTAACGAAAATCCGATTCTTATTTTCAGGTGATTATGAACCAAAGAAAACACACTTATTATATCACCATTTCTGCCAATATATGCCAATTGTATCCCCTAAATCCTATACACTGGACCTCTAAACAATAAGGTATTTAATAATATAGTTCTGTATGAGTGCACATATACACTGTACTGCCTTGTCATCATAGCTCACACAAAAAAAAGGTCAAGCAAAACGTCAGCGTCAGACTGCTATCAAAGTGTAACAGGCGAGAAGAGTTAGTTTTACAGCTGCACCTGGAACAGGAATCATGTTGTTCTATTAGATCTGAGACTCTCTTAAACTGCCCTGTCAGAGTCATAATAAAACAAAGCAGCAGCTAAAGTGTTGTTATATTCAGACTGCCCCTCTGGGTATTCATACATTATGAACATGGCTACTGTATGCATACTGCAGCTGAACAAGGGTAAATAAATACAGTACCTGCCTAATGACAATACTGTATCATACTGAGGAGGCGCCACATTAGGGAGCGCTTTCAATTTAACACCAATCTACGGTAACTTCAGCGATGCACTGATGATGTAAATTGGTTACACTTTTACTGACTTGTGATGGAGTCCGGTACTATGTGCTGTCAAGAGTGGCCTGGTTTGTGCAGCAGCGGTCTTGGCAGTGAACACTTCTGCTCACTGTGTTGGCAGGTGGGGAGAGTGCAGAACCGGGCTTGTGTGTGTCATGTCACATTCAGCTCATCTGTCAATGTAGTGGATTATTTCTTGAGAGACCAGAATTGGCTGCCCAGAATCAGGCCGCCATCAATCTTCAGCCGCTCTAGCTGGGACGCAGGGGAGGGCTGTGTGAAAGCAGAGGCTCATGGGAAAGAGAGCAGCGCCGCTTCCTGAGCAGGTGACGAAGCAGTCAGGCAACTCGTTACTCAATCTCTGCCTCAGCGGTGACTATGCCGATTTGTCACGGAAACATTTGAAAAAAATAAATAAATGCGATCTTGAAACTTTATCTCGGCAGTTGCATTTCTTCTGCTTTTTTTTTTTTTTTCCCGGTATGCACTGTCAGCTCACTGTTGCAGGAGGCAGATAAGCTGATTTCTCAAACATTGTTAGATGCTTCAACAGGCCGGAGGATTACATCTGTACCTAGCTCAACATGACCTTCACTTCCCCTCGTAGCCCCTTGTCTGTGTATCTTTGTCTATGTGGGATGGTGTGTGAGTTTTTGCACCACTCAGTCTTTCAGACAGTCAGCCGGGCTGGACGCCAAGATCCTCAAAAAATTTATTTCAGGACATGTTTTCTTACAAATACCAACCCCCTATTTCACTTCAAAACTTGGCCTGTGACCCTCCAGAAGACAATGCAGTAGCAAAGCATGTCACATTGCAAGGTACAGGAAGGCAGTTTCACCTATCTTGTCATCAAGCAATAAAAAGATAATGAATCAATAATTTCAGGAAAGGGAAGGCATGTGTGAGTCTAAGATAAAACACGATTTCTATTAATCCGTTTATCAGCAAAGACATTTTGAATCTTGTATTTCTCACGCTTCATTAACAAAAGCATTTTACAACTTCATTTTCTGTAGGCAGAGTGTATAACACTCATCTTTTCATCGTGCTGTAGAAACACAGAAATATTATTTGATTATGGAAAAACAGAAAAGCATGAAAGCCAATGGATTTTTTTCAAAGCAAGACATCTTTCTTTTTTTTTTTGCTACGTCCTACATAGCCATATCTATTTATATCTGAAGGGCTCTGGCCTCAATGAAACCAGAGAGCTTCTCAAATTATAAAATCAATTCTAATTCAAATATTCATCATAGCATTTCAATTCTGAGAGAGCAGTTCTGGTTAGATCGGTTAACGCCACTCCACAGCTGAGTAAGACTGATGTCAGCTTAATCCTCTTAAAAAAAACATGATATACTGTAAATTGTACAGTTGCTGCGCAGCAATAAGGAAAAAAACAGACAGAGATGTGTTCTCTCCCAGCGCCCAGGCCATTATCCCTGGGAAGCCTGCTGATTAAGATAGTAAAATATCATAACATATACTCCGATTATGAGTGTCAGCACCAATTATGGCTGTCAGCCTTCAGTTTGTTTGGTTTCAAAAGTTTTCTGGAGAGTGCTAAACACAGTAACGCTGTAACAAATCATCAGTCGCAGTGGGAATGTTGGTTTATTGTAAAACATCTCTCTTTGATTACCTCTCGGTGACGCAAGTCAGAATTGAGTGTTTCAGCCTGAATCAGTCTAATGAAATAAATGAAATCTGAGACTGAAAAGCATCAAATCAGCAGCGTGTGTGTTTATCATCCATCTGTACAGTGTAAGCTTGCATCCTCTCAGACTTGATGTGTCCTGAACACAGCTCCAGTATCCCCAGAGGGCCCATGAAAATGCCACACCATAATAGCCTCAGTGAGAAAATGGTGTGTAAATGTGTGAGCATGTGCGTGTCCGTAGACGGCTTAGCGTTGTATGCAGTCATAGTGTGAGTTGATCTGTCTGACAGCAAACCTTCCAGAGAACCCTCAGCCATAACTATCTTTTGCCTGGATGACTTTTCTAGATCTACGCCAGGGGTGGAGGTTAGAGGATGGGGGTGGCGGGGTGGGGGCTCTTATTTTTTTTTTTTTTCCCTTTCTTTTCCTTTGGGACCACTGCATTATTCAAGAGACACTTACTGAGCCTTGCACTTCCTTGTATATCTTTGGCACCAAGCTCGACTTGCCAACCAGTCAAAAAGAAAAAAAAAAAACACAGAAAAACTGGAAGCCAGGCTTTAAAAATTCATTCGGAGCTCTCTGTCGCTCATCCCTCACCCTCTTGTTCCAATTAACGGGACCGAGATACTTTGAGAACTTTCTATCTATCATAGCTGGGATTTTCCTGTGTCAGCTGTTCCAAAGCAAAAGTAAGCCAATTCTCCGACATGCTGCTTAAAGTCACCAATGTTCAACACAAGTAGGGAGGATTCAATGCTGGACTTTTTTTTCTCCCTCCCTCACTCTTGCTCTGCTTCAATTACTGCCTCTTTTGCTTGGCAAAGCGACGCACACAAAGGGAACCAAGCAGAAGATAGCATCAATGTTTAACAGCCGCTTGGCTTCTGGAGAGAGAGCCCCACTCTGTACGAGGGTTCAGCATGGGAGTCACACTCATTGTTAGAAGCTTAAAGAAAGCCTCTGCTTTGCTCAAGAAAACCTTTGCCTTCCCTGTAACACTCCCACATACACCACAAGCAATGCTGGTAAGCTTTTCCATAATCAGAGAATTAGATCCGCCTCGGCGTCTACCCTCCCCTTTTGCCCCTACGGTGCAGAAGGCGCCAGGCTTAATTGCCAAACGTTCCTAGTGCAAAAGAGGGAAACATAATTGTCATTTCCATCTAAGCCACAGTGATCAAAGCTCCCTTGGCTACTAGCACAGTAACAGGGATTTTTGCCTACAGCTTGTCCTACTCGTAACAGTCTGCCAGCTAGATTCAGGGTGTAGTAGTCAAAAAGTCTTTGCTGCACACACAGATCAACTCCCTACCAGCTAACTCACAATGTTTGAAGATGCTCCTTATTTGAAAGCATTTTGCAGCTCAGCCAAAGAACCAAAGTCAAACACTCTGTCCACGTATTCCTTCTATTAATAGCACAGAATGTATACGGATAGAAAGATGAAGTATGACTAAATATAAGCACATGCAATTAGAAGCACAATTAGTAGTCATCGCCTTTGCCTGACTGCGAGCACAGTGAATCATCACGATACAGTACAGTGCCGTGGCAAATCATTCTGACATACTGCAGCAGTCTCTCGCTGTTGCTTTTAAACAGCCAGGGCTGAGAACTGCTGCCCCATCGAGGGCAACCGTCTCGCACTCTAACACTGGTACTGTGAAGCCCAAAAATCTGACAAAGAGGTACACGTACCCAGGGTGAGAATGTCGGTGCGACCGGGCCGGGCCACATGGTGCTGCTGGATGGTCTGGTAGAGTGTGGCCTGGCACAACAGCAGGAAGCCGAGGCTAATCCACATGGCCAGCAACCAGGACATGGTAAGGCCGTGTCTGCAGGACGGCACACAGCGGGGGGAGAAACAACAGGGAAACAGTTGTATTACAGCATGTCTCCATACATATTTACAACACAGACATTGGGTTTGATTTAATGTGTTCTAAATAAAAGACACAAAATAGTTCACTGCTTTATCTGTAGATCACCTAGAAATATTCAGACCAACATGTCTACTAGTGTGATTCATTCAAAGGTATGTGCATAGGTATTTCTTCATAATAACACTAGGAGTAGACATAAAAAGAGGAGACAGGCTTCAAGGAAACAGAAAGTTAATCATGTCAGTATCTGTCTTAAAACCTGCTGAGGTCTGAAACAGACTTATACCATGCAGAAATACCAAAATGCAGAAAAAGGAAAATAACCTCTGCCAGACTGTAATAATTTTATGGTGAAAATTACAGTCCTATACACAGCAACACGACAGCCTTGAATATTCTCAGAGTTTCTAAAAGACTGCATTTCTAAGCACTAACAGCTTCTCGCAGATTTGTTCAGTGACTGCCTAATGGCTGGTGAGGGCCAGCATATGGAGACACGCCTTAGCCCTCATTGAATAATGAGGCTCTCCTCCTTCCCAGGTGTTATTAGTGCTTCTCTCCATTCAGGACCCCGCAGTGGGAAATTCAAAAAGCATCAACCCACCTCCTCCAAGCCAAACTGTGGCTCTCTGCCGACTGCATCCTGTTTAGCTGGACTATTTAGAAAATGAATAATCCCTGGACTGATCATCAGTTTTGAGAGGAGTATATTGCACCCAAATCACTCACCGTGTCACTGAGATATCACAGGCACTGACTGTATGTTTTACATGTGTCATTTTTCACTTAGGTGGTGACTCTCTGAGTGAATGCGACGCTCTAATGTGACAGTGTGATCTAACACTCCTTTAAAGTTGGATTCTACTATATCTCAATACACAAGAGAATATAAAGCAGACTGTGAGCCCCAGGGAGTCTCTTGAATATGAACTTCAAACCATGGAAATCTCAGAGTGAAATGAGGACTCTGTATACATAGGAATGTTACAAAGTGCCATGAAAGCAGGCCTGATCCAGTAAGTTGTTTCCAAAAGCCACTGCTTGCTTTGTGTGCTCCAACTAGACCACATTGTGTTTTGATGTGCATCTGAGATTAAGGCTATTAGGCTGCTAAATGTTACCCGTGTGCTGTGTGCCCTCAGTGACATTGAGACTGCTTAATATTCAGTGAAAATTAAGCATACAATTATGAACAGCACATTGTAAATCCCCACCCCTGTGCTAAATCCAACATAATCCGCGGTTTTGTGGAAATGTGAACTGGTCCCATGGGTATGTTTTCCTCTTCTTCCTTTTTCTCTAACCACACAGTATTTCTGTGTGGTTAGAGAAAAAGGAGCTTTCTTCATATTCACAGGAATATCGTTGCGCTTGCATGGTTAACAGCATATTCTGAGCTCCTCCCGGTTATCGGGAGGCATTCTTGCCGAAAATAAAATGTGGGTCTTACCAGCGGCGTTTTTACCAGAGGTGGAGACGCACGGTAGACTTTAAATAAAAACGAACAGGCATGGGCATAATTTTTTTAGCGGCAACTTCAGAGGGAAAGAAAGCAGCTTTCAAGAAAACACAACTCTTCCTGTCGATGTTGCAGCTTCGCTTCCATTGCGCACGAGAGCTTTTGTAGAAATATCCATCTTGTTTATTTCCACGCGGGTAAGAAAGAAAAGCAGTTTACTCTCACTTCTGTAGTGTCATGTATAAAGCGAGGGAGGACAGCTCCTCTGTGCGTAATTGGTTAAGTCCAGCGTGAGAGAGTGGATGCGGTCGAGGAGTGGAAACAGCAGTCACACCTGCAGGCGCATGATGCACCTGCGTGCAACATTGATTTAACAAAATGAGACTCGTTTTGTTTCTCGCAGCCTGCACTACTTCTGCTGGGGAGACAACTTCACTGATGAGTCCCTAAAAACCGCCTGTGTGTGGCTGTCATGCAGCAGGGTGAAACCACAGAGGATGATCGAGGTGCCATAACATTATTTAGGCTGCCATCTTATATTTACATCTCAACTTTTTATTGCATTTTATTAGATGTAATGCACTTGCAATGTTGTCATTATTAGAAGTCTATTTTACCCACTTGTTCAAAAGTTATATAACATACTGGTCATGTATATTATTGTGTAATGATATATTTCTGGAAGCTGTTTTTCATATTTCCTCACATGCATACAGTCTCCCAGTCAAGTCACATCACCTTTTCTCAATTCATACACATTTTTCTTTACCTAACATACAATTGCCCTCGTAAATCAACCCCCCTACCCCACCCATCCCATCCCCAAACACTAAAGGTATTCCTCGAAAGTCCCACACCCTTACCTGAGCAGTGTGTTCACAAGGAAAGGAGCTCAGTCAGACTCACTCCTCTGTCTTAAATCCATCCATACTTTGAAGCCAGGGATTCCCGCCTGAAATTCCAGTACCAGGTAAGCCGAACACCGCACAAAAAGATCTAAAATGCTGTTTTTTTTCTCCCCTCCTCAGTATTCACCTCCTCTGGACCCCTGCTGCTCGGGTCCTTTTGAAATCCTTGGCAGCACAGTCACCAAAAGCAAAACACCCAGGGGTCTGTGTCACAAACTGGCCAGGATCTGAGGTGATGGGAGGCTGAACATGTCACTGCTGTATCAGCCACATACGTGCAGATCTCTTGTCCTCTCCTTCCTTCAGTCTGTGCCTCTTCTCCGTCAGTACAACTCCTATGTTGTGATGACAGGGAGCTAATTTACCCCCCCTCACTTGTCGTCTCCTTCTCACGCGCGCAGCGGAAGGCTCCAGTGGAATGACTGCTCTGTCTGCTCTTGGCTGCGTCCCCCCATTGAGAAGCTGTGCTGATAGTGTGAGCCTCAGTCCTCTCTCCAATGCACTAAGTAGAGAGTCTGTGTCAGAGAGGCAGAGCGAGTGTGTGAGTGAGCGTGCGTGCGTGTGTGTATTACAATGTAGCCCAGCTGGAAAGAGAGAGAGAGAGCTGTGAGAGAGTCAGATCACATGTCTTAAAGCAAGACTGCCCACTTCTGCATCAAGACTTCATCAGCAAATGAAGAATGCTTTATTAACCCACCCCTCCTTACATCACAACCTCCCCTTCCCACAATGTCGGAGACGTGTGAGTATAGCCTTCAGCTCACTTTGAATGTGTCTGAGTGTGTCCGTCTGCACATGCATGTGTGTTAGTTGGGAGAGGGTGTGGAGCGAGGATGACTGAATGTTTCTCTTTTAGTCATCGCCTGCCAGCGTTTGAGGGGTGAGAGTGAGATATGCTCCAAGCACAGCACTTTTAATAGAAGGCAGAGTACCTCATCAGGGCACCGCAATCACCATATTACCCATTACGAGCTGGCTGTGGCTCTTTCTACCTGTTTTTGTGGTGATGAGTGGGGATTTGTTTTCACGGCCTGCCCTTTTTTGGGATGTTTCTCACCACCGAAACAAACTTGTATCTGCAGCGGCAGCCTGAGAAGAACCTGTGAGCATCCTTCTGTCACATGCTCACAAACTGAATCTGCTGGCATCCACTGTCCACTGTCTTTTGTACGTGTGTGCTTGTGTGGGTGTGTGCACGTGCGCTTAAGCCATGCAACCAGTCCTGTTTGTGTGGAATATGTTTTCCTCCAACACATTTACTTCCATGTGGAGGAGCTCCCCTTTAACTCATTATACTGTTAACCAGAGATTTACAGTATATGCCAATCCCACGCACCTGCCATGGCTGACTCACTCACAGTCTGACATTTCACAGAAAATGAACCCTATGCAACTCACAACAATACACAGCTGAGGGGCTAAATAAGCTGGCAGACAGTGAGGATAGTGTTGGTACTGTGGGGGAGTACAGACAGATGAACTTGATGATAAATATCGGGGAAAACTTTGTCTCAGAACTGCAGCTTCACCATGATTTCTTTGTATGCTGTGATGTGTGAATATAGTCGATGTACGTCTCACAAAAATATCTCGATTGCTGTTATCTGGTTGTCTAGTAGAAAAGGTAGAATTTTTTTAGATGGTTAATAAGCCCTTGCTGGTCACTGTGCCATGCCACAGGGCATCCTGGACCATCTCTTCTTCTGCTATCACCTCTGCTCGTTCTTTACACACCATAGTGTGATTTGACAGCCAGATGCGCACAGCCCCACAGAGTTACAATCTGCTGGGGAGGAAGAGACTGAATGGAGAAAAACATAATGTGACAAAATGGAGAAAGAGATGTAGGAGGGATTTATTATTCACTCTGTTGGATTACTCAGTGTGTGATACCTGGGTGGGTGAAATAGTAGCGGTAAACAGAGACCTCCTCATATGGATGAAAACTGGCTGAAAAATAAGAGTGGTGTGGTAGCTATTTCTGTTTTATGAGCTGATGTGTGTTTTTGCCTTTGGACGGCATCCTTTGTATTCACATAGTTTTCTGTAATAATCTAACGTGAACGCCATTATAAATGGTGAAGCCGCCATCTGGATCTCCATTGGGTTAAAGCATGCCACATGTTAAGTGACCAGATTCACATTAAGCAGGGACTGCAGTGTAATTACCGCATTGATTAGTGCTTCTACACTGTCAAGCTATATTTGCACAAAATGGCTTGATTATCAATAAATAGGCTTATTTGTATGTGTGCTTAGTTGTGGATGTTTCCTTTTGTAAGAAGCGTTAATAGCATGCACGGTTGAATTTCATTTTGTCTTCAGCGCTTAATGTCTCTATGATCTGTCCCATTGGACTGAGATGAAGGCGTGAAATGAAACAGGGCCCACAAACAAGCCTCAGAGGAGAACTTAAGATTGAAGGCATCCAATTACTACATGTTCCTTTCAGCAATGTGCAGTACCAACACGAGTCTCCCATTTGTATCTTAATTTTTTCCTTTTGTTGATTTGTTGCGGTCTCCTATTTTCCATTCTGCTTCGGTCTGAGCTGTGTTGGGAGAATGGACTGGGACAACAGAATTTCACAGTAATTCTGGATTGTTGTTGTGGTCCCGCTCTTCCCTGTTTCCCTTCTCGGGGGCTTCCATCATTTCCAAACAGCTGTCGCTGCAGCCCGTGCCAAGACCTAACCACAACCGACCAATCACTGGCCAACTCTGTGTTTGGATCTGGGCAGCCCTGTTAAACAGCAGGGTTTGCCAATATCGCTCTCTCGCTCTCCGTCTTTTTTTCTCATTCTGTCATTCTCTTTCTTTCTGTTTCTCCCTCTGGCTAATAAAATTCTTCCTACCAGTGCAGCCAACAAGCTTCAATATGCACCCGCTAGCTGTACCGAAATACCATTTTAAATCCCCCCCCCCCAGTCGCTTTCTGCTCCCCTTCAAAAAATGAGCGCTTGTCCACTATTATTCCTACATACGTCTCAATATTTCTCACTGGAGCAAACCAAGCGTTTCTTCATCTGATGAGGGGAGTTGTTGTGTTAGTAAACCTGCTCTCCATAGACACTTGCTCCATAAAACATTCTATCAGAGAGAAAGGCAGAGTGACACAGGGAGGCAGAGACACGGGGAGAGAAAGAAAATAGCAAAAAAAGAAGGAAAGATTAAGGCAGTGAAAGAAAATTCATTTGGAAGAAGTATGAAGCGGCAACTCTTGCTCAGTGGTGGATGGTGAAGGGAAGAAGATGATTAATGAAACGAAGGAGCCTGATCTGTAGAAATAATTTATTTCACATTTATCAGAGCGCCCTTTTTCTGCTTTTGCTCACAGGTGTTCATTACTGAGGTGAACCTGGCTTTGAGGATATTGTCGATTTGTAACAGTGGAATTTTAAGTGGGTAGAGGGTAAGGTTCGTGGATATACAGTTCTTCACACATAAACCTCTTGGGCTTTACCTCTAGCTTTTTTCTACTGTCAGCAGATCCTGGGAGAATAAACTCTAACATGTCAGTATGAACTCTAGAAGGGAAGCACAAAGCCAAATTGTTATTTCATAGCCATGAACATAAATTATTTTTGCTGCCGCGTCCCTAATTACTTTCTCATTTTCATCAAGAGGCAAATTTGAGTCAGTCACTCACTGACACACTTCACTCCTCTATAATTGGGCCATTTTTTAATTCACTGGTGTTTATGTTTATATTAGAAACAAAGGCAGAAGTCAAGTGACATTACACCACTGTGTAAAGTCTTAGAGAGAGGATCAGGTGGTGGTGGTTTGGCGCATTATGTGTGTGACTGTGTTATGTTGTGGTTTGCATCCCTAGCTATCACCTGTCATCGGTCTGTGCACCTGCCCCTTACTATCCCATTAGTGCCTGGCACATATATAGTTACTAGTGATCCTTCTCTGCCAGATTGTGTATGTTGTTTCGGCATTCAATGTTGTTATGGCCTGCTTGCTTGCTTGCTATAGCCCTTTCGATTTGTCTGCTTGTCCTGACTGCCTTCACACTAAGCCTGCCCCTGAACAAGGTAAGGACTGATTTTACTACGGCAGCTCTGTCTCTTGAGTCTGCTTTTTTGTTTCCAGCTCTGTGATCAGCTGTTGTACTGTCAGCTCAAACATGAACCTCTGTTTTGAGACTTCTAACAGTATGACCATGTCAGGCCTCAGCGACGTCAATGCAGTGGTGTCAGATCTGCTTGCTGAAGACCATATACACCTGCCAGTCAGTTGCTGGAGTGAGTAGACCTGTTGGCAACCTGAATTGGAGTTGAGGCTGCTTCCCTGCTTCCCTGCTTCCCTTACAGCAGTTTGCTTCCTTTGCTGTCGCTGCATAGGGTCATGAGGCCAGTGCCAGTGGTTCTCTTCCAAGGCCTTTGGCAGGCTGTTCTTATGCCCTGTTCGTACGTATATGTACTACAATATATCTCATGCAATCATGAACCAGTGATACATATATAACTCACATAATTGGGAAGGCTGTGAACACATGACCAATGCATTCACGAGAATAAAGAAGACAGTAGTTCACCCAAGGAGGCAGTAGGATGCTGAATGAGTCACAAAATACAGGACTTTCCCCAGGAGACCAGAGTTCCAAACTGTGTAAAACCAAGTGATTTTTTGAATCATTTTAAGGTACGTCATCACCATGTTTCTTTTCCTGTACCTAACCAAAGTAACTTTACTTGTGTATTTATATGGCACTTTTCATACAGTAACACAAAGTGCCTCACAGAGGTTAAAAACAACAAAGATCCAAAGCAGAAAACAAAAAGAAAAGAGAAAACCCAACCCTCCCACCCCACATAGAGATACGTAAATATACATATACGCGCGCACACACACACACACACACACACACACTAGCTGTCACTAAAGAGACATGGTACGTAACTTAATGTTAAGTATGTAACGTGGGGTGCTAATTCGTTGGATATCATGTAAACCATTGAGGACATGTTGCCTTTGGTCAGCTGCTCAGTGCTCCAAGATTCCTCGATCAAGGCAAAGAGAAAATTTTGGTGCTTAAATCTTGGACTTGCTGTGGTCCTGCCTGCCAGATATCAAACCACAAGTGCCTCCTCTATAACACACTCTCCCACCTACTTCATGCTCCCTGCTGCCACATACTCTGCTGGTGATGCTCTGTACCTTGTTCTAATAAATCAAAGGCACGCTGCCAAGTTCAGCGCAACCCTTCATTAGAAACAAGATAAGCTATTTTTTTAAAAACTGACTAAGGATCTCTTCCTGTTACTGATGCTGGTGAGGGGACTGAAAAGGAGTCTCAGGCACAGCACTCCATTGGATGGTTCTCTATTTCTCTAAAGGGTACCTGAATGTTCTGCATTCTCAACTGACACTTAATGTTGAGGAGTTCCTCTTGGCTCTGAAGTAGATCCCCTACAATTTGTATTTGTATGCTATTTAGCCAAATAATCCAAAGAAATTCATTTCCACCACAAAAATGCCACATGCAAATTTATTTGTGTCTGAAGTCCGATAACACCAAATGTTTCACTTTCCTGCAAAGCCATATGGCT